GAGAGAAGTAATAAACAGGGATGTTGCTTTAAATGGGTTATTTAAAGAAGCAGAGTTAATTATCATTGATTAGAAAAAAATATGAAGCTTTCACTGTGCGTTTGAAGGTCACATTCTCAAGGGTTACATGTCAAACTCGATGAGCTACACAACTAGGAATTCCTATGTTTGCCTAAAACAAAAAAAATCAAGTTCACCATTATAATTGACCATATTTTTTCAACACAGGGTTATTAAAAAGGGAAAATGTTCTCTATTGGTTGCATTCATTAAGGAGGTTCCTTCAAATTAACGTGTACATTCATTAGAGTGATAACCTACTGAAAACACTATTCAGTTTAGAAGAACACTGTACATTTAAAAATAAAAATATTGTTTTTAAGCCTGATATGCTCCTTAACAGCTTTAGATATACGGGCCCTGTAACGGCAACCTCAGCAAAAAAGGGTTAAACCGCCGTTTAGAAGATCTTCCCCTTCCAGAGATGCAGGCACAGCTACTGCAGAACACCAATCCGCTGAACAGGAAACCATACGAATGCTGTAAACAGCCGAATAGGAAAAACCATACGTATAGGTTTACACTCTTAGCAGTCGAACTGGAACAGCATACAATAAATCCCCCCAAGAACGACAAAGCTCCGTGTTGAGGGTCAAGCAGTGAACAGCCAGAGCTGTGGGTTTATTGTGCTTATGTACACATTCTTACACATTAGTACCACCCACAGGGTTTTGGAACACAACCAATAAACACATACAATACACTCAGACACTCCCACACAAATTCCTCCCCTCTGCTTGTGATTCAATTACCTTACACAATGGGTAATGTAATTTAGCACAAGCAGAGAAATACAATTTTTCCACATTATTCATAACTTGAAAAGTATGCATCACATTCACATTACATTTTCAGAATCAGCATACTCCAAATACAAACATACGTCAAAATCATACAAATTGGTCCAGTGGTTCAAAAGATAGATCGTAGTCCTTTGTGACCACAGGAAGCATGGCTTTTCTGCCCAAAACCAGTTCCACAGAGTCTTCTATCCTGGAGATAATTAGAAGTAATCCAATTATCTCCAAAGACAGAGGCAAAACTCCATTGAACACATGGCAGCAAAAAGACAGTAAAATACAATAAAATACACAAGGTTACATTTATGACATAAAATACAGACATGCAACATATGCACAGATAGCTTAGGTGTGAGCGCACATTATTACTGAATGGCGCTCAGAGCACACACATATAGTTCAATTGCCATGGAGCCAAAGTCTTTCCCATAGTCTTTCATTATACCAATGGGCTCCATGGCATAGCTATCTGGGGTATCACTGCTCAAACAGGGCAAGCACCAAATGACCCGGCTTTCTTGTCTTTGCAGGGGAATATCAAGCCTTTTAACATGGGGCCATAATCCAAAGGCAACAGGCGAGCAACCAGGCTTCTCCAATGCAATGTTGCGAGATTGCTCTCGTCACAGGCCCCTTTCGATAACAAAAAAAAAAAGATAAAATGCATTAAGCTCAAAGATGGACTTCTCTCTGCAGCCTGACCCATCCATGGTGATATCAAAACTAATGGTGATATCTGTCCAATTAAATGTTTTTCCTAGAGCAGTAATGTGGGCATATGACACATGCGCAGGTACTGCAGTGATCCTTTAATTTGAGTGAGAAGCACTAAATACAATGATTCTCTGTGAAAAGGATTAGTTGCCTTCTGTGTCATCATGGCACTGCATGTGACTGTGAAGTCCTTCGAAAATAGAGGGAAGAAGCCACCAAAGAGGTTGACAGCCACTAGATGATTGTTTTTGGCAAAATGTAAACATTGTCATTTCTCGGAAATGTCTATATTTTACATTGTAAGACAAAGGGGCAGAATTTATGCACCAAAACCAATTCATTAACATATAGTGGGCTTGGTACTTACAGTGTCTTTATAATCATTACCTCTGGCCTTGTACCATATCATCAGTATGAAATCTTAGTAAGTAGACTTGTATGTTGGATACCATGCTCTACTCAATGCTTAGGTGTGCATACAATGAACAAAATTATAAACTCAACACTTTTGCTTTGCCCCCATTTTTCACGAGCTGAACTCATAATTCTAAGACTTTTTCTGTGTACACAAAAGGCCTATTTCTCTCAAATATTGTTCACAAATCTGTCTAAATCTGTGTTAGGGAGCACTTCTCTTTTGTCGAGATAAACCAATTAGATTCATGCCATCATGCCACCATCAAATGCAGAATACCTCTATGCAGCCCTACCACTATTAATTAGCTGACAGTTCCCTTTTAATATAGGACATATAAAGACTGATTTGTTATGAGAGAATTATTCAACCTTAAAGAACACTCCAAGCACCATAACAACTACAGCTTGTAGTGGTTATGGTGCCAGGAGTGTTCTTGTCCTTCTCTACTGTAAATAATCAAATTGTTTTTGAACAGTTTGATTTCTTACTTTGGATCCATCTGGCGCTGCTTCAAGCCTCCACTAATAACGCCAGAGAGACTGATATTCCCATTCACTTTTGTTAGCTCTCCTGAGCTAAGCCCTGCAACGCTTGGAATGTTCCTTTAACAAGTTAAAGACCTGCTGCAAGCTGGAATTACCTACGTGTGCAGTAACAAGTTAAAGACCTGCTGCAAGCTGGAATTATCTACCTAGAATCTGGTTATTAAGGAGCACGGACAGCAACGTAAGCAATAACGCATTCTCAGTACTTTCAAACTGTTCTCTCTCATATCTATCTTTCTATTTCCCTTCTTGTATGCATATTTCAAATACTGTTTAAGTTACACAGTCACTTTTACAGTTGCTGTCAATAATTTGACTGTTCTGATTATGGCGTAGAAGTGGATTTTCTAATAATATGGGTCACTGAAAGGACTGGCATTAATTCTCCTGGAGAAAGTGTGATGTTACTTTTTTATCTGTATGTGTGTGTAGAAAGATTTTTTGTGTGAACACCAAGGGACTGCTTTGATGTCATGTAAGGAAACTGGCTGCATAACTTCTTACACTGGGATGCCACTAAGTGTAGTTATGTAACCAACTGATAATGCAGTTGAGTAGCTCTATTTTGAGAGGACAAGACACACAAATCACAGTGTTCATTTCTGATACTCACTCCTCAAGCCTTTTCTAGTTAAATGATTTTTAGTGATTTATTTTTAAATAGTATTATACAAACATTTTCAATAAAATAAAAACGGAAAAAACTAAACATATTCATAATCAAACAATACAATTATTTTGAAGAATAAACAATTGTACGAAGAACATAATGTATGAAGAACATATGTGAATATGTATGCATTAAACTGTTAAAGGTGTAAACTATTCAGTCAATGACTTCCTGTGGACATATGTACGAATCCTCCTAAATCCTTAAATAGAGCCCTCAATGAATTCCATGCAGCATACCAAGCGACTCCTCGTTGCAATACCTCTATGAATGTAAGAGCAATAAATCATGTTACGATGTACAATGCAACTAATGCAATGTAAATGAATGCCTCCTATCTAAGCTGGGCATCCACCATCTCAGCAGTTTGGCTTACTCTAAGAATTATTACCCAAATTGCTGTGTACAGGAAAATTTAACAAAAAAAAAAAAAGAGAGATTTAATGAAAGTTTTTTTGGGGAATCTGAAACGCTGATGCTGAATAAAAGTTGTTTTAACCAAAAAAATAAATAATACCTTGAATGTTATCCATATATTTATGAGCTTAATATCCTTACAAGATTAAGCATTGGGTAATTATAATTTCTACCCTGCTTTGCATGAGTGACTGGACATTTTTGGGCAACAGTGGTAAAAAAAATAAAAATATCATCCAAACTACAGTTAGGATTGAACTGAGCACACCACCTTACGAAATAGTGCCTATTATACCTCCCCCACTGTAGCTTAAAATTACATGATTTTGCTATTACATGACGAAAAGTCATGATTTTATTAAAGACACGGAGGCGAGTATTGCATATCCCTTTCTTTACTGTCCACCAATAGCAGCAAAGTATACAAACAGAATGAAAAATATTGAACATACAGTAACATAGGCCCCTCCCCGCTCAGGTCCCAGTATAATAGGCAGCACTTCCCTTCCATTTCCCTCTTTCTGAAGATGCGACCATGGTAAAAATGTCCAAACCAAGAATTGTGAGAAAAGTCCCAAGGTAACAACTTATAACTGAAGAGGGTAGAACATCAACAACCGGGAAGCTTGACCAGAGGATTCATAGGACCACCGGATAACAGCAGGGGAAGTCCTCATAAGTCGGATGACTGCTTGCCATCTTGTCGAGTTAAGCTGTGAAAACATAAAGGAACAGGAGCCGACAGGTTAAAGTCGATACTTGCAACTAATCTCAAGGTTAAACGGGTGAGAAAAAACCCACATATATGCAGTCCCACAAATAAGAGTGATTAATTAACATTAAGTTACATAAACATCCTTCTCGCAGTATGGCCCCACTTACCGTACGAAACCATTCAATGTGGTTTGTTGTAGCGTGTATTAAACCTGGGTGGGAAAAAATTATGATAACCGTAGAAGAATAAGATGGGTGGGACAATACTCGCCTCCGTGTCTTTAATAAAATCATGACTTTTCATCATGTAATAGCAAAATCATGTAATTTTATAACAAGACACGGAGGCTCATATTGCAAGTTTAAAGCTGGTCCACTACCACAGAGAATGTATGTGGGGCCGGGCGAAAGTAAAACTCCCGGAACGTAGACTCCCTTGACCAGACGCGCGCCTGCAGTCATCATCGAAGAGGCCCCCCGGACTGAATGGGCGTCAAAGACCGTGGTATCAATGCCTGCCTGAGACAATAACCACTTCACCCAGCGTGACAAGGTTGTGCTAGAAACCGGGTGGAAAGTGGGACAAAATGATAAAAACAGCTGTGGAGAGGTAGCGGAGCGATGAGAGTTGGTGCAAGTTTTGTATTCGCGTAGGCAGGCCACTGGACATAATGCCGGAGAGGTAGGGAAACTAGGGTAGGATACCGATTTGATAGAAGTCTTAGTCCGCCGGCTGATGTTGAATGTTACCCCGTCCGGGGTATATGACCTGGCGTCGAAATCCAGAGCTCTGACATCCGAGACCCTCTTGCATGAGACAAGGCAGAGCAGGCAAACCAACTTGGCAGATAGTTGTTTTAGGGAGAGCCCTGAATTAGTGGGCCAGGATGAGAGGAAGGCCAACACAACAGAGACGTCCCAGGTCGTGGAGTAGCGAGGCCTGGGTGGTCGGGAGAATCGAGAGCCCTTGAGGAGTCTGCACACTAAGGGATGCTGTCCCGCGGGACATTCGTCGAAGTCTTGGTGAATTGCCGAGATGGCAGACCGGTAAAGGTTGATAGTCCTGTAAGCCTTTCCAGCCTCGAAGAGGGACGTCAGAAATTGCAGGACCATGGTTACAGAGGCCGAAATGGGATCCGCATTCCTAGCCATGCACCAGCCAGCCCAAGCTCGCCAAGCTGACCCATATGCCCGTCTAGTGCCGGAAGCCCATGCCTCCGCCAACAGTCGTCAAGTCATGTCCGAAACTCCTTGGCTCTCCCAGGGTCCCCGGAGATCCGCCATGCCAGGAGTGGGAGGGAGCCGTCCAACCGGAGGGGATGACATCATCCCATTGGGTCCCACAGCAAGTTGTGGCACTCTGGCAGTAGCCGGGGTTAGTCCATCGTCACCTCGAGCATTTGGGGGAACCACGACTGTGTGTCCCAAAAGGGGGTCACCATGACCACCTCTGCCCTGTGTCTGCGGGTCTGCAGGAGTGAGCGCGGGATCACGGAGAACGGGGGGAAAGCATATAGGAGGCCTCTGCTCCAGTCTTGCAGGAAGGCATCCACTGCCTCCGCCATTGGATCTGGCCTCCAGCTGAAGAAGCATGACAGTTGGGCGTTGAGCTGGGAAGCGAAAAGGTCGATGGTAAATGGTCCCCAAAGAGACGATATACTGAGAACACCTCCTTGGCCAATCTCCAGTCGCTGGTGTCTGAAAGATATCGTGATCCCCAGTCCGCCCTACGTTGTGCAGGCCAGGTAAGTATTCCGCGTAGTCCATCAGGTTCTGTTCCAGGCAAAATTCCCAAATTCCCCAATCTGGCCAAGACTGTCGACTGTGTACCGCCCAGGTGGTTGACATATCTCACCGCCGAGACGTTGTCCATGCAGAGCCGAATGCATGTTAGGGCTTGGTCCCTGGCAAAACTGCGGATGGCGAAGGAGCCTGCCAGGATTTCCAGCGCGCTGATGTGCAGCCGGGATTCGGATTCCGACCAACGGCCTCCTGTTGAAACTCCCTCGCAATGGGCCCCCCAGCCGTGGAGACTCGCATCTGAGTCGATCTTGAATTCTGGCATTGAGCCAAAGATGGCTTTGCCGTTCCACGCGGACAGGTTGAGAATCCACCATCGCAATTCGTCCTTCGTCTCGCTGTCCAGTGACACCAGGTCCGCGTATGATGCTCCGGCTCTCAGGTGAGCGATCTTCAGGCGTTGTAGCGCTTGGTAGTGGAGCGGGCCCGGAAACACTGCCTGTATCGAGGAGGCCAGTAGGCCGATGAGTCGTGCAAGCTGGCGCAAGGTCAGCTGGGGCTGGATGAGGGCCCTGCGTAACTCCTTGCGGATGGAACGAATCTTGGATTTCGGGAGGCTCAGCGTCGCCTCCCCCGAATCCACGAGGAATCCTAGGAATTCCATGCGAGTGGCGGGGGTTAGGCACGAATTTTCCCAACTGATAATGAAACCTAGGCGGGAAAGGAGGCTTATGGCCAGCTGTAGATGTGTAAGGAGGGTAGAACGCTCCTGAGCCATGAGGAGAATGTCGTCTAGGTAAACGATTAGCCGGACTCCCCGACTGCGTAACCAGGCCATCACAGGCCGTAGTAGCTTCCTAGCGTCGGCCCCGCTGTTTGCCACGACGGGCCGGTGGGGAGATCAAAGCTCTCTCTCACCGGCACAAATGCGGCCACCGGCAGGGAGAGAGGGAGGGAGACAGCCGCCAGGAGAGGAGGACCCTGCGGAGCTCTAACTTGAAGCTCCGCCGGGTTCCTCTCTTGAGATCTGGCACGTTGCCATGGCAACAACCGGATCTCGCGAGAGTGAACTCTAGCCCCACAGGCTAGAGTTCGCTCACCTACGAGGACCACCAGGGAACACTGCCTCCCAGTCCCAGGTGCCAGCGTGCCAGTCCCCCCCTCCCAGGCTAAAGGTAAGAAGGGAGGGGGGGATTTAATACCTGTTTTTTGTTTTTATTTACCCCCACCACACACAATCCATTCTAACATTTATACAGTACTCTCACACCCATCACACACAGCACTCTCTCACCCATCACACACAGCACTCTCACACCGATCACACACAGCACTCTCTCACACAGCAATCTTACACCCATCACACACAGCACTCTCTCACAGCAATCACACTTAGCACTCTCACACACAGCACTCTCTCACTCAGCACTCTCACACCATCACACACAGCACTCTCACACCCATCACACACAGCACTCTCACACACAGCACTCTCTCACACCCATCACACACAGCACTCTCTCACACACAGCACTCTCACACTCATCACACACAGCACTCTCACACACAGCACTCTCACACACAGCACTCTCTCACACCCATCACACACAGCACTCTTATACACAGCACTCTCACACACAGCACTCTCACACACAGCACACACACGGCACTCTCACACACACAGCACTCTCACACACACGGCACTCTCACACACACATACTGCACCCCTCACACACACACAGAACCCCCCCAACACACTGCACCACACACATACACAATACTTCCAAATATATATATATATATATATATATATATATATACACATACACACACACACACACACACACACACACTACACTCTTAACATACACACTCTGGATCCCCTATACACACACTAGATTACTTGTAAGCAAACACATACTACACCCCTAAACACACACTACATCACCTATATTACACACACACACACACTATAGCCTGTATGCACACACTTGCTATATCCCCAATACACACATTCTCTACAGCCCATAGCCACATATGCATCACATTACACCACTTTACACCACAAACACAACATGACTAAAACCAACCTTATTATACAATACCACACCACAATCAGCTCACTCTACACACACGCAATACAACAAGCAGGCTCCAAACACATGCACAATACTCTTTCCTGGCCCTTTTGTCTCCTGGTATCCATTTATAGAGACACCAGAGACAAGTTGCAAGGAAACACAGTGCAAGCATGTTATTAAATTTGCTTGCACTGTGCAGAACAAATACAGAGCTTTTTTCTCATGCTAGAGCTCTTCAGCAGGGCTCTGCGCATGGTCTGCCCTGGAAGAGCATTGAACCAACATGCTCACTTTGAGAGGAGGCGTGTTTGTCATTGGTGATGACAAAACACACCTCCTCTGCCCCGCCCCGTTCTTAGTGGGCCGCTGTGTTAAAAAAAATGCCAAATTTTTCCCGGCCCTGGCGGTACCTGACTATGGCATTGAGGGGACGCAGATTTATGACGGGTCTCAATTGACCGCCTTTCTTTTCCAGCAGGAAAATGTTGCTTATGACACCTGCGGGATTGAGAGGTGCTCGTTCTATAGCCCCTTTGGTAAGAAGGGCGGAGAGTTCCTCGTCGATCCATCTGCGATCCTGGAGTGAAAAGCAGATCGGTCGAGGAGGGGGAATGTGTATCAGATGTTCTATGAGTTTTATGTGGAAGCCCCGGATAGTGGTCAGCACCCAGGGGTCTGATGTTATTTGTGACCAGGCTGGGAAAAAATGTTGAAGTCTGCCCCCTACACAAGCCAGAGAAGAAGTATGAGGTATGAGGTAACTCACCGTATGGTCGTCTGGAACTTGGGTTGCCCCGAAAACCTCTGGATCGCCATGGATGTCCGCGTGACGGGAAGAAGGTGGGACGGGGGTTAGATTCCTGGTACTGCGTACGGTGTTGGAAGGAACCTCTTCCCGTGCCATGGGATTGGGGGTAATTACGACCGGCCAGACGGATCGTGAATCTGCCGGCCCTGGTGGAGTCCCGCCCCTGGAAAACCCGTCTCATGGAGGCCTGGGCCTTATCTAGGGCTGTGAATGCTCCAACAAAACGCCCTAAATCCTTAATAAAGGAGTCTCCGAAGAGCAATTCTTGGGCGTCCTTGCCAGCCTCTGTGAGGGCGAGGTTGGCCAGTTTGGGCTCTATTTTAAATAGGATGGCCTTACGCCGTTCTATTGATAGGGAGGTATTCACACTCCCGGCAATACATATTGCTCTCTGGACACAACCACGTAGGTCTTCGGGGTCAACCATGCGGTTCTCCGCTCTGGCGTCTTCCACCAAGTCAAATAATTTGGCCAGGGGGCCGAATATGTCCAGGTGTTTGTCCTGGCAGGACTTTAATGCAGATTCCAGCCCCTTACGGGGGTTCCAGCCCAATTTGGTGAGGAACTGGGTCATCTTGGGGTCTACCTCAGGAGTGTTGCAAACTTTATTTGGCACCACAGACCTAGGACACTCCGCCCTCAATTTGTTGTGGGCCGCTTTACTCAGGGGTCGTCTGACCCAATTCTCCAGATATGTGGCAACATGGTCAGCCGGGAGCCACTCTGCCGATCTCGGATGGTGTAGGTCATCCAGGTCGAAGAGTGGAACACCCGCGGGGTTCCTAATCCCTGTATCACCTCCGGGCATCTCTGCTTGAGCAGAGGAAAGGTGGTCAAAGCCTGTATCAGCGGCATCCGCATCAGAGTCACCGCATCCGACTCAATCTTAGCCTCCTCATTTGACCTGATTTCTGAGTCGGAGTCGCTCTCTAACTGTGCTCTGGCACATTTCCATAGCCGTGCCCGTTCTGCCTGGCGCGGAAAAGCTCTTTTGCGTGGATGGGACACGCTTTCTGGGGTGACCGTAGGTACGCTAGTCATGGTGCTTCTGGAGGCAGAGGGAAGTTTTATGGGTAGCCTTTTTATATATCTCTCCCTGAGGGTTCACAGTGGGACGCGTTTGAGGCGTCGTGGAGCCCGAGTATTGCTCGTCCGAAGGACGTGGCAGGAGGGCCTGTGAAATGGTGTGGGAGAGGGTAGAGGACAACATATGCCCCATGGCCGCAATAATAGCGTCTGTCACCGAGCGCTGCAGCGCTAAGAACTGAGCCCCAT